GTAGTCCTTTAGGTAAGGGACATCGAGGTCCCTATGTAGAGTTTCGTTAGAGACATACCATGGGGCATCAGCAATAGTGCGCAACGTCCTGCTTTGCAGAACCTGCAGACTTCGCATGTGTGTTTTAGCAATAAAACACCAAGCCGCACATGCGAAGGTCATTGCTGGTCTTATGACCACCTTATAGAGTCGAATCTTGTTAATCAAACTTAATTTTGACCATTTACATAATAATGGGTAAAGCTGCCGAAACGTAATTTGGAATTTAGTTTTTAGCGCTTCCATATGGTTCCGCCAAGTCATCCCTTTGTCCAGAATGACACCGAGATACTTAGCGGAGGATTCCCATGGTATACGAAGTCCATTCATTGAAACTTCAGACGGAACGCCGCGACGTCTTTTTGTACAGTAGATTGCCTGCGTTTTCGAATGGTTTATTTTAATTAGCCACCGATCTGCCCAATCTAATACTTCTTCCACCGCACTTTGCAGCCTGTCATGGACTAGGTCACCAGTCCACGACTGAGCCACCAATGCAGTATCGTCAGCATAGAGATAGACTTGCTGGGACTAGGGACGTCATGGATGTACAGTGAGTAAAGGATAGGTCCAAGGACCGAACCCTGAGGGACGCCGGCTGTAATCAGCCTACCTTCAAGGAAGGATTTCAGTAGTTTTAGAAGCCAAAAAGGGAAGCCCTTTTGGATTAGTTTATACAAGAGGCCCGCGTGCCACACCTTGTCAAATGCTTTTGAGACATCCAAAAGCAAGATGCCAGTACTTTCGTTAAGGGTGAATCCTCTGGTTACACGTTCCACCAGAATAACCGCCTGTAGCTCCGTACTATGTTCAGACCGAAAACCGAATTGCACGTCAGGAATCACATGGTGATCTGACGAGAAATTCTCAAGGTGACGTAGAATCACCTTTTCAGCGAGCTTAGACGCAGCTGACAGCAGGCTAATGGGACGATAATCCTGGGGAAAAAACCCACCTTCTTTGGAATCATTATAACTTAAGCGGTCTTCCACGCGGATGGGAAGTACTAGATCCTTAGCATGGCATTGACTATTGCCACGAGATAAGTTAAGGACTTCCGCGAAAGCAGCTTCAGCGCCTTATTAGTGATTTGATCCTCCCCAGGTGCTTTACGCACTTTAAGGTCTTTAATATGACCTTGAATCTCTGCTGGTGTGCAATGCGGGATCTCAGGAGATACCGCTGATGTGCTAAGCAAATCTTCGGTTGAAGAAGCTTCTGAATAAGAATCTTCTGATGAAGAAAAATCACCAACGAATGCGCGACTGTCACTGACGCCGTTGGCCCTAAAATATCTCCTGACAGATCTTACGATGTGTTGCTCCTCGTCGAGGTCATTATCAAGATCATAGTTGGGAGACAACTGTCTTTCCATGGCATCGGCGAAAACCTCAACCTTCTCCTCTGTCCTGAAGACAATGCCTCCAGGACGGTGAATGTGTGGGATTTGTTCACGCTTTCCGTTTTTGAGCGAGTTCGCCACCTTCCAGAGAGGAATGCTTGAGTCAAGCATCCCCGCCAGAAAGTCGTTCCATTGCTCATTGCGGAATTCATAAAGAGCATTTCTTACTTCATGAACAAGATTCGTCGCTCTGCGAATGTCATCAGGATGACAAGACCTTTTCGCTTGCTTAATTGCAGCTCTTTTATCAGAAATTTTCTGACGAATGTCTGCTGGCAGAAAAGGTCTGCCGTGTCGCTGCACGGGAAGTACAGCTGCACGCTGCAGAGTTTGCTGAACAAAACTTGTCCACTCTGCTTGAGCCGCATCTATACCGTTCTCATCATCTATGATCGGTATATTGGGGAACTCTTTGAGGAGCGACTTGTATAGCTCCCAATCAATGCGTTTCCTTGGAGGGATTTCATCACCCAAGATCTGCTCATTAGCCACTTCCAAAACGACGGGAAGATGATCGCTTGAGATGTCATACATGATTCGAGAAGTGATACTGTAGCTACAGTTTTTGGATAGTGCCAAATCAAGAACATCAGGTGCCTGAAGGTGATTAAATGGGTGGTGCGTCGGCTCCTCAGTACTATGTATGAGGTAGCCATTTCGTATCACATGGTTGTACTGTCGGATCCCACTGGTGGAATTCAACCTGGAATGCCATGCTCGATGTTTGCAGTTGAAGTCCCCTGCCACAATAAGTGGACCCGAGTAGTCTAAAAGGACTTCCAGATCCGCCTCTTGCAGCCTGTTACCACACCTGACATACACCGATGTGATTTTTAACGGCACACCTCCCGTCATATTGACCACCACGGAAGCCGCTTCGATGCTCTGCATGTCAGCGTTTGTGCTTCTGTGGTAGTCAATACCGCGTTTCACTAGCACTGCCAAGCCGCCACCCCGTCCAGTCAATCTATCAGCCCGGATAACATCGTAATTCGGGAAAGCTAGACGATCTCCCGGATTAAGTAATGTTTCCTGCAGCAAGGCCACATCTATACTTTCGTCCACAAGAGCTTGATGAAATTCCCGTCTTTTGGGAATGTCCCTTAGACCCAAACAATTCCAAAAAAGAATTTTGATAAATGCAGGCTGTCGTCGATTGTACCTAGCCATTTGCAGGAAAGATCGCCTGCAAAGCCTGTGTTGCGCTAATCAGAGGACCTATGATCTGCTGTAAGGACCTTAGCCCGGTTGCCAGGTCCACATTTTGCGTGTTCGCAGAAGATCCCACAGAGGAGGCAGCCCGGGTTGCATCCCTAGCTGCATCCGCGTAACTTACATTGCGCCTTTGCGCTATCACTTGCAGATTTTTCTTAGAGGAAAATCTGCAAGTTCGGCTATTCTCTGGATGCCCCCCTCCACAGTTCGCGCACTTTCGTTCCTCTTGTTCTGTTTGAGGGCATAAGTGGGTCATGTGGTCAGAAGCACATTTTAGACATTTAGGTGGTGCAGTGCAGTAAGATTGCGCATGCCCATATTTTTGGCAGCGGTGACACTGCCCGATGAGTCTTGAGTTCTTTTGAACTTCGACTCGGATAGCCAAACCTAGCAGCTCGTGTTCGTTGAACAGCTGCTGAGATTTTTCTATCTTGGGCAGTATGACTACCACCAAAGGCATGGGCACGCCGCCACCGCGTTTCAGGCGAATTATGTGCAGGGGGGAATATCCCCTCTGTTGCAACTCTTCCTTGATCTCAATTTCCGAAAGTGTCGCATGTACTCCTCTGATTACAGCATGAATGTTCCTCTCGGAGGGTAGAGGGAAAGTGTGATGGGGCACCTCTTCCTCCCTGAAGAGACGAATAATCCTGCGGTAATCATCCTCGGACTTGGGAATTATCCTGATTCCTGCATCGACGGCAACCGCGCGTTCGGATTTGATGCCCAAAGAAATAAACTTGTGATTTACGCCTCGCCATCTCGAAGCATCGCGAAGAACGATGGGGGTAACACGTACCTTGCGTGGGGGCTGTGCAGTCGTGTCTTCTGGTACCTGAGATGTCGAAGGCGTGGAAGTAACCGATAGATTAGGAGGCACATTCTGTTTATTCGAGTTGAATGAGACGTTTCAGACTGCGATTTTGGTGGAGGGAGCGGAGGAAAGCCTGTCGTGTCGGTCTTGTTTCGTCGCGTTTTACGGGGCTTAACCTTGGTAAAACCGTCAGGGAGTGTATCGTCGTCTGTGGAAAGATCGCTTGAATTATTTAACGGTCTCTTAAGATTGACAGCTTTGTCTTTACTGGGATTTTTGGGAAGTGTTTGGGAAGAATTTGTAATATTTAGATGGGAAGGTACCTGGGTTTTCAGTAGGAGGTGTAATTTAACTGTTAGGTCGGTAATTGTCCGCTGCTGGGTTTCGATGATCCTCATCAATCTTTCATTGGTCTTCTTATCATCGTCCTTTTTTGACAGCTCCTGTCGAACCATCTCCAATTTGGCTCTCAGCTCCTCTATGGTCTGCTCCTTCGACTCCATCTCCATTTCCATGGTGGAAGCGCCATTTCCTGACCCCCCTGGGTCAGTTTTCATAGTAAATATCTCGGTTATCTCGCTTTTCGTCTAAAAAATTTTCGGGATCGAAATTATGGGACAGCTGCTATCAGTGCCCTATACAGGGCGATATCCGCAAAAATTGGTGCTCCCATTTTATGCGTCCATGTTTTAAATACTCCCTTGAACAACTTGTTGAAATAAAACCAGACTTTACAATTATTACGAGGAAATTTGCTAATTGATTAGACTATATCAATCTAAAGCAACGGTGTGCTATCAGGTTTTGCTTCAGACTTGGGCACAGTGTAACGGAAACTCTTGCTAAACTTCAGCAGGCCTATGGAGATAGTAGTTTGTCAAGAGCCCAGGTTCTGCGGTGGCTTAAGGCGTTTTCAGGAGGGAGGGAGTCGATTGAAGATGAACCACGAAGCGGAAGGCCTCCATCTTCAAGAACCGGTGAAAATATCGACAGAATCCGGGATCTTGCGCATTCAGATCGTCGATTGACAGCTAGAATGATCGAGGAAGAGTTAGATTTGACTCACACCACCGTTCAACAGATCAAGACCGACTTGGTGGTTCATCATAATAATGCTCCTTGACACACAGCAATGTTAATAAACAAAAAACATTCCTGTGGATCCTCAGCCTCCTTATTCGCCTGGCTTGAGTCCTTGTGCCTTTTTTCTTTTCCCGAAGTTCAACATCCTCCTCGAGGAAACTCATTTTTGGGACACTCGTAAACATTCTAGCGGCTGTAACCGATCAGCTATTTCAGAATCGGAGTTCCAGCACTACTATCAATTGTGGAAGAACCGTCTTCAGCGCTGTGCGGCTTCAGAAGGAAGTTATTTTGAGGGTGATAACATGAAATTATGATTTTAATTGATAAAAAAAATAAAAAAAACAATCTCGTCATTTAATTTACAGACCTCGTATTTATCAACAACCGTCATATTGCATAATACTTCTTTAGCTTCTTTAGAGTTTTGTGAATGAATGTTTTCAGATCCAGTGCTTAGGGCGACAGATTTTAGAAGGACTACTGTTTCTGAAGAATCGATATTTCCCTCCAATATATCACCTCCACTCAGGTAATCAAGATTTACAGCTATTTTCGATATCGATGTTTGTAGCACCATATTTTATGATATATGCATGCCTTGGGATTTCGTGAAGCTATACGCTAGCCAATTGTAAAGTTTTAGTGATTTATTGATAGAATAACGGTGCACATTCAAGTGGCATATATACTAAGTGACATATAAATCCGAACACCCAGTTTAAATGGTTTTATTTTAATAAAATTTTGTATAAGTACTTAATGAAGCATAATAAGTAAATGATAAAAATTTCAAAATGATTGCACTGCTTTAAAGCCCTTTGACCTTTAATAATGTGTGGATGCACCCTGATGTGCTACGCATTCTCCAACGCGCCTAGGCATGCTTCTGATCAGGTGGTCAATGTCCTCCTGTGGTATCTCATTCTAGGCAACCACCAACTCCTCTCGAAGTGCTTCTAGAGTCTGAGGAGGATGTTGCAAATTGAGCAATCTCTTACCCATCATACCCCACACTGCTCAATTGGGGATAAGTCGGGAGATCTTGGTGGCCATGGTAACAATGTAACATCATTATGTTGAAAGAAGTCTATTGTGACTCTTGCAACATGTGGTCGGGCATTATCTTGTTGGAAAGTTGGATCTGCCAGGGTGTCAAGATAGGGTAAAAGATGGGGTACTAGAACTTCGTGGATATAATGCTGCGCGTTCATGTTACCTCTGATGAAGATTAAAGGTGACCTGGAACCATAAACTATAGCACCCCAAACCATAACTCCAACAGTGTGATGAACATGTCTTTCAATAAAAAACTGTGGATTCCTCCTTTCACCACGTCGCCTTCTAACCCTGGCACGACCATCGTGCATGCCTAAACAAAATCGAGACTCGTCACTAAAGACAATACTGTTCCATTCCTGATCCCGGAGTGACCGTTGTCTGCACCACTCAAGGCGATTACGTCGGTGTTCTCGAGTTAAAGGGAGGACCCACTGTGGCCGGTATGAAAACAAGCCAAAACTTCTTATTCGTCGGTAAACACTTCGCATGCCAATCTTCCGTGTTCTGCAAACCATTCATTTGCAATGGACCTGGTAGTGGAGAAACGGTCCCTTAAGGCCAATAATCTTAGGCGGCGATCTTCACGGTCTGTTGTTCTACGGCGGCGTCCAGTGCCCCTTGCTCTTTGCGTACGGCCTTCTCGAAGCCATGCCTGACAACACCTAACCACAGTGTCTACACTTCTTTGCACTCTAACTGCAATTGCCCGAAAAGAAAGTCCAGCTTCCCGCAGTCCCACTATACGGCCCCTATCAAACTCACTAAGTTGACGAAATCGTACAGGTCTCCGTACTCTAGGCATCGTAACCGATCGTAAAGGATGTCAAGAACCAAAATCCGCCAACGTTGATTCGTTACTGCGGCTGAAATATTCATTTTTGGAGCGTTAGTGAATTAAAAAAAAAGCAGTATAAAAACCGGAATGTCCCACTGATAAGGCTGAAAATTTTTTCACTTGTTATTTACAGTAAGATATTCACCAACTTTTATTAAAATAAAACCATTTAAACTGGGTGTTCGGATTTATATGTCACTTAGTATATTTAGACTTTTCGTGAAAAGTTTAATAAGCGTCTTGGGGTTTGCAACATTTTCAAAAGAGCGTAACAACTGCAGTGGAAGTAGATCAAAACGATAGAGCATTCAGCTGCGTTAATACAGCAAATACAGGCCAAAATGAACTTTGGTGAACATGAGCGTAGTCTCATCATTTTCTATGATGGGTGTAATAGAATGATCTAACTTCTACTTAACAAACGCACGATGAACATATTTTAAGAGTTTGAGCGAGAGGACTCGTATTTCATCGAATTTTTATTACTGCGAGAAGAATTAAAAAAATAGAACATACCTTCGGTTAATAACATCACTTACGAAAATCCTTGCTTTGCTAGAAAACCGAATTTGCTGCAGAATGAGCTTTCAAGGAAATAAAATATCTTTCAAAAATAAAAAGTCATAAGAATAAAAGTGATCCCCTGTGTCATTCTTCTATAAAAGTGGAATATTCACATACAATTTCAGAGCAAAATTAAATTAAAAAAAAAACAATGTCATATTATGAAATAATCAGATAAAAAGCATTTAGAATACTGCTGTAAACAGTTAGTTGGAAAAAAAGTCCGACCTTAATATCGAACTTTGGCGATAGTTGTCAACGTTATCACGTTCAACGTTTTTAAATATAGGTTTTATTGTATCGAGATTTAATGTCAGGAAAATATAATTGTAAAATTCCTTAGGTAACGTGATAATCCAGAACGGCGTGGCGCGCATAGCAGGCCTCGAGAATTCCCTTCTAGGACTTCTTCCCCGAGCTCCGGCTGCCCCTGCGCCACTGGCTTTCGGCTACCTCCTCTTCGAAATGGCTGCCGGCTATGAACTGACTCAGCCGCCCACAGCCGCCCATTTGCAGCTGGAATTGGAAAGGGCGCCCAAGGTCGCAGAAGCCCTTGAACTGGTGTTCAGGGGAGAGAGGTTGCCGCAGTTGGAAGAGCTTGTCAGGTTTGTTAACCACTTAACTAGATCGAAGATTTGATGAAGATGCACTGAGAAAAAAATTAATTAAACCAATTAAAACTTTAATTATGACAAATGGAAAATTAGTCAACTCTGCGACACTAACAAGTTTAATTAAACAACTTACTTGAATCTATGAAACTAGTTTAATTAAACTAAAACATCGTTAACAAGTTAACAAGTTTATTTAATAATAATAATAATATACGCCTTTATTACAAAATAATATGTATATGATACATACTGAAAGTGGGACTCAACTGGCGAAGTTTAGCAATGCTACTCTTACACTTAACCAGCTGAATCAATAAATACAGTGATGTTAAATAAATTAAAAACATATATATACATATATATACACACATATACATACACGGTGACTTTGAAGTTGAGTCATTAATTTTCAGATAATGATTCTAGAAGGAAGATAAACCAAAATATGTGTGTAAAAATAAAAATAAAAATTAAAAAAAATGTTACCTTGTTTTATAAAGTATCCTCCCGACGTAGTATTTCAGTGCGGACCTGTATTTGATCGTGCGGTCTTGGAGCACCGGCATGCCCTCCCCTGTGAGGTCTTAAGTCACCTGATTAACGAGCCCTTTGTACTACATTAACAAAGGCACGAGGGGTTGGTTGCACTCGATTGGGAAACCGATCCGCATAAAGACTCCCCCCCCCCCGTAAATAAGAATCATGTCCACAAGTTCAGCATTTTCGTAAACATGTGCATTTTTTATTTCGTTTAAGCCACGCAACAAACACCACTATTCACTCACGCGTTACCGACTGACACATTGACGGAAAACAACTGAATAAAATTGTACATTGTAGTAAAAACATGGTTACAAATTCTTTCGCTTTTTTGTTTCCGATGCGATGAACGGATAAGGCGGATTATATCCGTTGTTGCCAAACACAAGCACATAATATTATTATTGAGACAAGGCGGTACTCAAACTTCTAAAGGGCTATAACTTTGTTACTTTAATTTTACCAGACAAATGTTAAAGGAAAAAAGCATTTCTTTTGATCAGATCTACTCACTGTTAAAATAAATGACTCAACTTCGAAGTCACCTTGTATATATATATACACACATATATACACATACCCATATATACATATATATCATGCGCCTAAAAATAATATTAGCTTCTAAACGTAATATATATAAAGTCTAATTGGATGATGAATGTGGAAAGGATAGTATCAGTCAAGCAGCCTGATCCTTACATGCTTACGAAAACTTGCTAAGCTCATACATTTAAATGAATATTCCAACGAATTATATAGAACTGCCGAATTATAAGAAAAACTGCGGGTGAATAAGACTGTAGAGTGAGGCAGAATTCTGATACTTAACCTATCTCTAACCAACCGATCATGAACAACAAAGTTAAATAGAATTTTTTCTCTCAAGTAGGCGGGCTTTGAAGTGGTTATTACTTTGTGAATAAATACTAGATGGTGATATTCGACCAATTTATCAAATTTGAGCCATTTCAGCGTCCTGTATTTCTGTGATACATGGTCAAATTTTCTCAATCCACATATAAAACGGACACAATTATTCTGTATAATTTGAATTCTATTTTGTCAAGGCATGGGAAATAAAGGATGTTACAGTAGTTCAAACAAGACATCACTAGCGTTTCACACAGTTTTTTCCTGAGCATATAGTTCAGTAAGTACCTACAAGAGTACAAAGTGCGTAGGCGGAGGTAGATTTTTTGAGCAAGACAGTTGATATGATTATAAAACCTTAACTTCTCATCGACCTCGACACCTAAAATCTTGGCAGTAGTACCAACCTGAAGAAGATTTCTGTCAATAAAGATATTAAGGTTACCTTTGACGTAGTTTCTTTTATTATCAGAACAGAAAACTATGATTTTTGACTTCTCAGGATTAACTAATAAATTATGATTGGCTGAATATTTACAAACCATGTCAATATCATGTTGTAGCTCTGTATTAGCTGTTGGTAATTCACTAGCTTTAAAATAATGTACTATTTGGGTATCGTCTGCAAAGGATTGCATTGCAGAATTTTCCATTACTGCATATAGATCGAAGGTGTAGATGACGAATAAGAGAGGACCTAGGATAGAACCCTGAGGCACTCCAGATGGTAAGACACTTGGGACAGAGCTCTGTCTAGATAGACAAACTTCCTGAACTCGGTCGGTTAAATACGCACAGAAAAATTTAAGTGAGGTATTATCAAAGCCAATATATTTCAATTTAGCTAGAAGAAGGGTATGATTGATTCTATCAAATGTCTTAGAGTAATCAACCGATATCAAAGCTACTGTGATCTTTTTATCAAGCGCACGTAGCACATTGTCGCATATACATATTTAATAAGGCAGCTGTTGTACTATAGTGTTTTCTGAAACCAGACTGATTAGTGGATAAGATTTTGCATTCTTCAATGTAAGCAGTTATTTGAATCTGAACGATCTTTTCTAAGATTTTTGCTATCACCGGCAATAAACTTATTGGTCGTAAATCTGAAAGCTGGGTTGGTTTGTTAATTTTAGGGATAGGAATATATATACAGGGTGTCCCAGAAGTCGACGTCAAGCCGAAACCGGGTGATAGGCAAAGTCATAACAGCCATCAGAAAAATATTTAAAAAAAATTTATGTATGTGTTTTGAAAATTATAGGTCTTTGAAAAAATATAGAAATTTCACACCCTACGGCAGTCTGTCAACTCCTGTTACTACAAATATTAACTTTTTTTGGATTTTATTTTTACAATGTAATGATGAATAATGCATCTTCAAACTGATGTCTCAACCTTGCTGCCAACTTTTCTCGTTCAGGAAAAATTGCCACTTATTTCCCAACCAAGTATTCCAAAGTAAAACTTTGCTCAACTTTAACTGGCTGTACTGGAAAAAAATGTACTACGAGAGTTTGGCAAGTAACCTTAAAAGTTGGCGCATTTAATAAGGATTCCAAAATGGTATAACACTTAGAAGATTACTCGTTAGCTTATGCACAATTTTTATTTGAAGAAAAATTTTTCAAAATTTCCTAATTAAACAGCAATTATGAAAACGCACAAGGACCCTTAAGGATAACTGTTTGCACAACAGTGGGCGTCAAAATGCTGCTGATGATGATTAACCTTTACAGCAAATGCTCAAACTGTTTTCCTTCAGCCGCAATAAACGCTCGAGATCTTAAAAAAGATCGGGTTATTAAACGAGCGAATCCACGGTTATTAACAAACTCAGCTGCTTCCAATAGTCTTTGCCGTAGCTCAGCTACATTTTGAATCGGCTTGAAATACACTTTTTCTTTTACAGTTCCCCAGTAAAAAAAATATAACTGAGAGTGCATAGTGCGCTGGGCAGCCATCATGCTGAAACCACATGTCCCTGTAAATACTCAGTGGCACGTCCTCCAATAAATTTTCTAAATGATTTTGCAAAAAACCTAACTAAACCTCAGCAGTCAAAGTCTCTGGGTACTCAAACGGACCGATTATTTTACCAAGAGCTTGAACACGCTGTACGTGGTATGGATGGAGAACGTGTTTTTGCAAGATTCTATGGGCTGTACTTTTGGGCACACCTGTTTTTAGTTCTATTGCACGCACTGAAGTACTCGGGTCTTCTTCGACAGCTCCTAGCACCACGTCTTCGTAAGGAAGGAAGGATCTTCCCTCACCGTGTGATTGGTTTGGTAGTTGGCCCTCTGAGAACAGTAAGCGGTGCACATTTGTGAACACTCGATGATCTGGATGACAAGCTGCATTCGGGTACCTCTCACAGTACTAGCAGCACTAGCGTTGCATCTGCATTCCCCATAAATGAGGTGCATGTTACCATATTCTTGTACGGTGTACACGGACATAGCGGCACTGCACAATCACACTATCAAAGATAGTCTAAGGAAAGCAAATGTTATTTTGAAGAGCAATTAAACAGTCCAAATCCAAATCATAAGCGATCAACAGTCCAGTTCACGAATCCAAAATTAGTAACAGTACGAAATCAACAAGCACGAACATGTAAAGATGCACAGTAAACGAAGGAGTACTGATCGGTATCAAAGTGTGCAATAGCAAGTAAATGATGGGCTTCATCCATACCACATACAGCGTGTTCAACCTCTCCTGCCCCGGGATTATGAGCCCCGAGTTGCTTTTTGTCGCACAATGTTAGAAAGACACAGGAAAGATCCACAGTTCTTTGAAAAATTTTATGGTCGGATGAGACCACATTTAAGAAAGATGGGTACATGAACCTGCATAACTTACACGAGTGGCACGTAGCAAACCCACATTTGATGAGAGAAGATAAATCTCAATATCGCTTCAAGATAAACCATTGGACAGGAATTTTAAATGGTAAAATAATCGGTCCGTTTGAGTTCCCAGAGACTTTGACTGCTGAAGTTTATTTGGATTTTTTTAAAAATCATGTACGAAATTTATTGGTGGACGTGCCACTGAGTATTTACAGGGACATGTGATTTCAGCATGATGGCTGCCCAGCGCACTATGCACTCTCAGTGAGAGAGTATCTCGATCAAAACTTTCCAGGCAGATGGATAAGGCGGTCTGGTACAATACCGTGGCCAGCCCGATCACCTGATTTGAATCCTTTAGATTTTTTTGCTGGGGAACTGTAAAAGAAAAAGTGTATTTCAAGCCGATTCAAAATGTAGCTGAGCTACGGCAAAGACTATTGGAAGCAGCTGAGTTTGTTAATAACCCTGGATTCGCTCGTTTAATAACCCGATCTTTTTTAAGAAGATGTCGAGCGTGTATTGCGGCTGAAGGAAAACAGTTTGAGCATTTGCTGTTAAGGTAAATCATCATCAGCAGCATTTTGACGCCCACTGTTGTGCAAACAATTAGCCTTAAGGGTCCTTGTGCGTTTTCATAATCGCTGTTTAATTAGGAAATTTTGAAAAATTTTCATCAGTTTCTTTTCAAATAAAAAGTGTGCATAAGTTAACGAGTAATCTTCTAAGTGTTATACCATTTTGGAATCGTTATTAAATGCGCCAACTTTTAAGGTTACTTGCCAAACTCTCGTAGTACATTTTTTTCCAGTACAGCCAGTTAAAGTTGAGCAAAGTTTTACTTTGGAATACTTGGTTGGGAAATAAGTGGCAATTTTTCCTGAACGAGAAAAGTTGGCAGTAAGGTTGAGACACCAGTTTGAAGATGCATTATTCGTCATTACATTGTAAAAATAAAATCCAAAAAAAGTTTATATTTGTAGTAACAGGAGTTGACAGACTGCCGTAGGGTGTGAAATTTCTATATCTTTTTCAAAGACCTATAATTTTCAAAACACATACATAAAAATTTTTTAAATATTTTTCTGATAGCTGTTATGACTTTGCCTATCACCCGGTTTCGGCTTGACGTCGACTTCTGGGACACCCTGTATATTTGAACAGCTTACTTGAATTTATGGTAGTTACTTAGATTGACTACACCAATTTACTTAAAATTAATAAACTATTAAAATGAGTGAAGCAATTTAATTACATTTATTAAATTTTTTTAATTAGTTTAGGTAAAAGTAATTGCCTAGTTTTAATGAATTCTTTATTTAGACTTGAAACGTAATATTGGGAATTTAAAAGAACATTGCAAATATTCAATAAATTGAATAATTATTTTATCAATCGTTTAGTTAGTTGTTTAGTTGGCGCTTTGATCTATTAATCAGTTAATTCGGCATGGACGTCATTGATCGGATACTGAATCCATCATGTAACTAACCAATCAATTTTCGAGTCAAACCTTTAACTAATTTCTACAGGTGCGACTTATTCAGAGGCGTGGAATTGAGGGAGCTAAGGGGAGCTAGTATAATACAAAATGTAACTCCGCCCGACGTTATGGAACTTCTAGATATTGTAAAAAATCCAGTCCCTCCATCGCCTCTCAGACGGTAAGGAAACAGTTTTTTATTGATTTTCTATTGTTAAAAATCAAGCGACTGATTCTAGTGAAACTTTTGAGATTTTGATCAGTTTAGGGATCGCACACTTAAAAAAATAAATATTTAGGTGTTTATATAGATGAAATTTCTTCAAAACTAGTCCGTATTATTTCAGCACTTTGTGTTTTTTATCCACTGGCTATAAACGTTTTGCTTACTTTGATGAGTTATGTGGTCTTTATCAAAATATTAACGATCAGCGATGGATACGCAAACATTGTTCAAACTATATTTTTTAATATACACTCTATGCTTTTCTTCAGAAAAAGCATTCGGCATTGAACACTTCTAACATATCGAAGGGTCTCATATTTACTAGCTTCAAGGTAGTTCTACTTCATTCCAAAAATGGTATGTGAAATAAGACTTCTACTTACGGAATTGAGGTACATTTCTCAACATGCACCAGATATACAGGGTGTTTCAGTTTATTGTTGCATAACTTTAAGATTCGATAGAACTTTTAAAATTAATGCATAAAGTCTATATAAACGTGGGTCGATAAATGCGTGGCTTCCAAAATAAAATTTACTTTTTAAAATAGTTGTTTTTAAATATTTCGAACAATATTTGATGTATAATAGTGAAAATTGGTATACAAGGGTTTTTTGGTACGACAAAACGAACTATGGGCATAGTTTTACTGTAGCCGCTAGAGGGCGCTCTCTACTGTACCTGTAGTGTATTAAAATGACCGAAAAATTTTTCTTAGTGCATTTTTTTACTTTTTGAATAAAAAAGCTGATTCTTCGCACTTTTCAACATAAAAAAGCTCTCTTGTGAATTTTCGTTATAGTTAGCCGTTTTTGAGATATTTCGTTTTTTAGGGTTCGATGCATTTTTAATTATTTATGATAAAATAACGTTAAAAAGTCAGTATCTCGATAATTTTTAAAAGTAGGCTGTGCCTACAAATATTTTTGAAATTGAAAGCAGAATAAGGTTAAATGTCAATTAGTTGACAGTTAGTTTTGTTGTCTGATGAAACCTGTAACTTTTTTTGCAATTGTGAATACACGAAATTTAGTTTCTTTTACCTGTTTTTTTTTTTGTAAGTTCTATAAAAATGCCATTTTTATTCTCCAATCAAGAGTTAGCGGATATTCATTTTGTGTATGGCTTTGTAAATGGAAACGCAGCAGAAGCAGCCAGAGAATACGCACGAATATTTCCAAACAGAGGACATCCAACTCGCTCAGTATTTGTAAGAGTACATCGCCAAATAATTGAAAATGGTTTTGGAAATCTCCAAAGGGATCAAAACATAAATCTTCGTCAGCGCAGATTTACCCGTATGATTCTGGTGCCTTGGGAATTTCAGCAAGCCATGTTCACCGTGTTCTTAGAAATGACCATAGACGTCCTTACCATTTGCAACCTGTGCAAGGACTACAGCCAGGGGACGGAGAACGAAGAATCACATTTTGTCAGTGGATTCTTGATATAACTGATAATAATAGGGAGTTTTTAAGTAACGTTTTATGGACCGATGAGTCATGTTTCACTAGACGTGGAGTGGTAAATTTTCATAATCAACATATTTGGTTGGATGAAAATCAGCATGCAGTTCGGGAAAGAAATTTTCAGCATGAATTTAGTGTGAACGTGTGGATTGGTATCTACCGTTAGCGACTATTTGGACCCTACCTTTTGCCTGCAAGGTTAAATGCTGCGACCTTCTTGCAATTTTTAAAGGCTGAACATGCAAATATGTGGGAAGATGTTATGTTAGATTTAAGAAGATTGGCCTGGTTCCAGCTTGATGGTTGTCCAGCTCATTATTCGAGAATAGTTAGAAACTGGCTGGACGAAAATTATCCAGAAAGATGGATCGGCCGTGGAGGACCAGTCGCCTGACCTCCACGATCCCCTGACCTAAATCCATTAGATTTCTTTGTGTGGAGATTTCTAAAAGAAAAAGTGTACCAAACTCCCGTAACCACAAGAGATATGCTAATAGACAGAATCAGGAATGCATGTGATGAAATAAGGCCTTATTTGAATATTGCTATACCACGTTCGATCATTCGTAGATGTGAATTGTGTATTGAACAATTGGGTTTACATTTCGAGCAACTACTTTAGATTTTGTATGTTTGTCCTAACTATCCAATAGCATTTTAGTTGTAAATAATTAATTTAATTTGTTAAAAATAATATTGGAAAATCAAACAAATTAATATTCTGTTTTTTTGTGTTTATTTGGAGTTAGGAATTATTGCTGAGTTTAAAAACACAATCTAAACGATCATCTTAATTACTTGTAATGCCCAAATCGAAAATGTAAAAAAAATATTATTTTTCCATAAATAATTGAAAATGCATCGAACCTTAAAAATCGAAATATCTCAAAAACGGCTAACTATAACGAAAACTCATAGGAGAGCTTTTTATGTTGAAAAGTGCGAAGAATCAGTTTTCTTATTCAAAAAGCAAAAAATTGCACTAAGAAAAAAATTTCGGTCATTTTAATACACTACAGGTACAGTAGAGAGCGCCCTCTAGCGGCTACAGTAAAACTATTCCCATGGTTCGTTTTGTCGTACTAAAAAACCCTTGTATACCAATTTTCACTGTTATATATCAAATATTGTTCGATATATTTAAAAAACTATTTTAGAAAGTAAATTTAAACACGCTGTATTTCGGAAGCCACGCATTTTTCGACCCATGTTTATATAGACTTTATGCATTAATTTTAAAAGTTCTATCGAATCTTAAAGTTATGCAACAATAAACTGAAACACCCTGTATTGACCTACTGAGTGCTTTGAACGTCCTAATCTGATACGATAGATCTACAGGGTGTAAACGTTATGATAGGCATTATTTAAATGGGTGATAGAGAGTGTTAAAAGAACATGGGGGTCAAAACGGCATTTTTTTAGACAAAACTCCGTGTAAATAAAGATGGAGTTTGTTATTTTTGGCTCTTAGGTATTATTTCATTATTTGATAATGTACTCGTAAAATGCAAACAATTAAGAAAACGGACTTACCACTAACTGTCTCAGCGCTTCACCTGGTGTGTGAAAGTTTATTGAATGTATTAAAAAAAATCACTCATAAATAGGGAACACAATTCTGATACATACATTGTCTCTTTAAAAGCCACACTGCACTTTTTTTGTATTCAAAGAAGGTGTTCAAAATGTCGTCCTCCACTTTCCATACAAGCTTCATCACGAAAGGTATGAGGATTTTCTTGGGCCCACGTGTGAGTATTATGGAAATTTAATATCCCGTCTCGCATAAAAGTACATTCGTCCGTCCCTAAAATGTTTTTAAAAAAATCCGGATTTTCAATGTTTTTGTGCAAAAACCTCTGACAGAATGTTAGTCTGCGAGGATAGTCATCTGGTAATAAGGCCTGCACTCGTTGTACATGGTAGGGATAAAGCAAATTTTCCCGTAGGATTCTGTGGACCATGGTAGTCCTATGCGGCGGCCTAATTCGCTAGTGCTGATATCTGCATTGATTTCCACGATATTTAAAATTTGTCCCACCTGCTCCTGTCTTCCACGAGTGCGAATATCAATGGGCTGAACACTTCCTGTATTTCGAAGTCTTTGATACACTTACACAAATGTACTTTTGTCTGGGTGTACCCGTTGGCGAAATCTGTCACGATTAATTTGAGCGGCAAGATTTGAATTCTGACGAGCTTCACCGTAAACTAACAACATGTCGGCGAACTCTTGATTCGAGAACATTATAAATCAAGATGACGACATACGCGAACAAAAACAAAACAACATACTAACCACTGTTACCGTTTGCGATCGATTGCTGGTTCGATAAGAGTGATGATGACCGACGCGCTGTTGTCATGTGTGTTTTAAATATTCAATTTAACGAAACTTACGTACTGACTACAAATTTTGGCTCAACTTAGAAAAACTTAATGCCATTTATTTGTTAATTACCCAATTTAAAAACGTCTTAGATTAAATTATAAAAATTAGTAAGGTTGTGGTGATTGTGGTCGATATAAGGCACTTAAAGTTGTAAACTATAAAGCCATTTAGACAAAACTCGATTGACCATGAGTCACATGAACTTTTTGACTTGTTTTGAGGGTACTAGGGCCATTGCAATAATGACTACCATAACGCTTACACCCTGTATAATCAAATATCAAACTATACTGCCTATATTTTCCCTATGATACAAGTACTGCCTTTTTACCCTTTTATAACCTCTTAAAACAGCAGAAAAAGGTCTCCTGAAACACATATTACTCAATTATATTGTGTAAAGTTAGTCAAATGCAGAAGTGTAAAAATTATACAGGGTGTTATTTAAATACATGACTAAACTTCAGGAGATGATTCTTTGAGTAATTTTAAGATGTTGCTTAATCCGAAAACAATAGAAAAATTGTAAAAGGTCAATGACGCACGTTATTGGTTAGGGTGTTTTCCGGGACGCCACTGTACTTAATAAATTCAATCTAATTTGGGCTAAATTTACCGCTTACTGTCCTCAATACCACTGCTAAATTTGAACAGAAATCGACTGAAAGTTTATCAATATTTTTAGGAAAAACCGATTTTTTGAAAGAAGTTTGTGAGACTCTTTATCTTGATAGTAAAGCATTTCTGGACCTACGTTTACATAAACTTTTCATCTTAAAATCACTCTGAGAATCACCCCTTGAAGTTTGGCCACGTACTTAAATAACACTCTGTATAACTGGTAACAAGCTCAGTTCTAATAATCTGATTTTACTTATTAATGTTCTAAGAATCACAATAAAACATGAGAACGTGAGAACTTTGATTACATTACTTTACTTATTTAGTGTTCTATGTTATAATTACATTTGTGAATAAGTATTTATTGTCATACATAATTACTTTTGCTGCAAAAGCATAACTTTAAAAAAATATTCTTCGCTTAACTTAACAAATAAGAGAACACACTGTTTTGGTTTATATACTAAGTG